TGGCCCCCACCTCAGGAGCGGCAATCCGGCTGACACCTGTGATTCAGAACCGTGGCGTGTCCAGTGGCCTTGTGCAGCGGGTCGCAGGGGCGGTCCCCCCCGACGTGGTTTCGCAGCAAATAGCGGTCTCCCCCGGCCAGCCTTCTCTCCCCAGGGGGCCTTCTGCAGCAGCATTGCCTGGGCTTACTGCGGGCGTGACAGTCATCAGGCAGCAGCCAGAGACCATTGAGGTGCGCCCTCAGGGGGGTGACGGCGTTCCTGCAGAAATGCACGGCTCAGGAGGGGCTGATGCTCCCCCGGTGCTGCCCCCCCGGGTGCCGGACGCACACCCTGGGATGCTGCTTTCTGGCCCGAACGTGTACTACCAGAGCAAGAAGAAGCGGAGCAAGCCGCGGAAGCGGGAGGTGCAAGATGGGGGCACGCTGTCGCGCACCGCTCCCATGACTTATCTCCTCAAGCTGAAGCGCTCTGTGACGGACCGCTCACAGTGGGAACTGCTCCCCCCCGAACCGGGGCCGCCTTCGCCGCCAGCACCCTCGGCTGATATGGCGGGGCCGAGCACGAGCGCCAAGTCGGAGAGCGCACCTCCACTTCTGCCTCAGGGGGGCAACCAGTGGGAGCCGCCGCAGGGCGTGAAGAAGGTCCGCACGAAAGGGAAGAAGAAGAAGCGGGGGCTGGACCCGGAGACTGGGCTGTTTGCGCAAAGCAGCAAGCGGAAGCGGACTCCGAGGGATTACGTGGAGGGAGAGCCACGGCGGAAGGTTGGCCGGCCGCCAGGGAAGCGCAGCATGAGCCCGGCAGAGGGGGGGGTCAATGTCGGGGTGTTGGCGCTCGGGGCTGCGGAGGGGCCGGACGAGAGCTGGGACGGATACGAGGAGGAGTACGAGGATCTCGAAGGGCCGTGCAGTGCGGTGCTCCTCTTGAAAGAAGGCGGGGAGGGTCTGGGTGACGATGTCATCGTGGAGGAGCAAGAAGACGGGGCGGGGGGCTGGCGGCTGGCTGTGCTGAGGGGGGGGGAAGTAGTGAAGACGTATCTGCCGGAGAGGTATGGGCCTGAGGGGCGGATTGTGCCAATGACTGGCGCGGTGGTTTGGAGCGCGAGCGAGAAGCCTGAGGGGCCGCATTGGTCGCTGGTGTTCAACGCGCGGATCGATTGGCACCGGTTCAAGGACTTGCATGACCAGGTCCTGGTGAAGGTGCGCAAGGCGGCGCGGAGCAAGAAGATCCCGATCCCGGGGGTGGTCGAAGTGGAGAACTACGAGGCAAACTACCCCCCTGGGGCAGACGTGCGGGGAGAAGGGGCGTACATCAAGCATGCGGAGGACGATGCGAGCCTGGCGCGAAAGTCGGCAACTGTTCTGTACGACGCGGACAGTGAGGATGAGGAGTGGCTAGAAGAGGTAAACCGTGCGAGCGCTGCCAGTGGCTTTGTCGCTGCACCGGTGTCGGAGGATTGGCTTGGGGGTGTGGGGGCAGAAGTTAGGCCTCCCAGCGTTGTTTTGGAGGGGGGCAGCGGGGAGACTGATGATCTAGTGGGGGGCGATGCTGTGCTGGGCGAAATGATGGGTTGTCTTCTATGGGATACGGGCCAGGAGAGCGCGCCTGGAAACGATGCGGAGGGTGCGGATCGAACAGTGAGCTCGGAGGTCATGCCAGGAGTAGGGACTGGAAATCAGGTGGAAGGGGCAGGAGCGGAGCTGGGGGCTCTGGCGTCTAGCATTGGGGGCTGTGACACAGCTCCCCCTGAGCGGGCAGAGCTTGCTGGTGTGTCTGGGCTGGTGTCAAGCGAGGCGCCGGCAGACACGGGGCACCTTGAGTCCCTCGAAAAGATAGAAAGGATGTCCGCTGAAGAGCAGACGGCGGGCGCTGAGGTGGCTGTCGGCGAGAGGTTGCTTGCTGACAAGAAGCCTGATGCGTTGTCAGCAGAAGGCTTGAGCACAGAAGCAGCACCTTCAGCTCCGGTGCCACACATCGACGCTCCCCCTCTTGCGATTGCGCAATCAGGAGGCCCTGTAGAAGGGCAGTTCGATGTGGAGATAGCACCAGCAGGGGAGCAGCAGCCGGTTGAGCAGGGCCTGAATCCAAAAGGCCTTGTTGGAGGCGGGGCTGGTGGGCAGGAGGCAGCGGCAGAGGAGCGACCTCCGGCGGGACAGGGCCCCCAGGTCTCGAAGCTGGAAGGCCTTGTCGATGGCGGGGCAGATGGCAGAAGCACAGCCGCAGGGGGCCCTTTTCCGCCAGCTTCACAGGGCCTCTTGGTACCAAAGTCGGAAGGCCCTGTGGAAGGAGGGCCCGGTGCAGAGAAGGCAGCGGCGGAAGAGCGGTCGCCGGCAGAACGGGGCCTCGTGGAGGAGGACTGGGAGGCGCTGAGTCTGCAGCCGTGCAGCCAGGCGATCGACGTTGACACTCTGGAGCGCATCGTGGACAAGCTAGAAAAGGCGTCGGCTCTGGCGGGAGTTGTGGTGTCAAAGCAGGAGGGGTACCGGGCGTGCGAGGGGCTGGCGCCTGGGGACCTGGTGAGGACGGTGTATGCGCATTGGCGGGGCAGGAGGCAGAAGCTGGGGAAGGCGCTCATCCGTTACTTCCAGGTAGGGCGGTGCTCACCTGTTGTTTGTCACTGGCCTTGCTTTGATGCGGGCAATGCTTGCTGGGGAATGGACCTGGGCAGCTGTCCCTCATCCGTACACTAGAAGGTTGATTCTTCAGCGTATGGCTTCTGTTGGGGTCATTAGATGCATGACAGACGTTAAAAAGAGTGCCAGCTGTCCTTGAACGCGCAGCCCAATCGGTTGTGTTCCCCTTACTCCTTGCGTCAGCGCTCGCTTTGCTTCTTGATACCTGCTATGCCAACCAAGCCAATATCTCGATGGTTGCGTTGCTGAAGTGCGCGAGTACTGCAAACATCCCCCATACCTCTAACCTGGCAACTTTCTGTAATGGGTGCACCAAGCTATACTTCCCCCGTCAAACCTCTTTGAGCTTTCGTTCTGTGGGTTGCTCTCACACACCCCCCACCGTTTCCCCTCGCAGCCCACCCCCTGGTCTCGCTACCAGCAGCTCGTGAAGGAGTGGCAGGAGAGCGAAGCTGCCCGCCGTGCAGCGTGCCAGCGCGAGGGCCGCCCGTTTGTAGCCACCAAGAAACCCCCCCTTGACGCGTTCTCGCTGCGGCCCACGTCGTACAGCAAGGAGCAGCGCCGCCTGCAGCGCAAGACGGGGAACAGCCCTGGGCGGCCCAGGACCAGCCTCAAACGCAGGTTTGGTGAGTGGGCACGGCTGGGGTCTTCAGTGACATGCGCCACAGTCTGCTTTGCGTTCATCAACTTATCAGTGGTGCTTCTTAAATGATTGCGACGAGAGTCTGGTAATCCTGTGTGTCCGTTAGCACCTCATGGCCATTGCAATGTAGCTGCAAAGGTGCCTGTGCAGCGGACCACCAAGCAGATGCCAGCAATTGTTCCGAACGAGATTTGATTCCTCTGGAGCATCCAGCAGACACTGGGCTGCTCAAGGGATGCGGATTCTGCTTCTCAAAACCATGCCTATTGCATGACCAGTGATATCTTGATGCTCAAGGGCGGGCTTTTAGACGTGCACTTGCTGTTTGCAGGCAAGAAGGCCGTGCGCGGCAAGGCGTCCTCTGCCGCCTCGGCCAGCCGGTTGGGCCCCCTTTGGTCCCCCCAGTACCGCCCCCTGGGGTCGCTGCACACCCCCAGTCCGGGGCGCGAGTTCACACCAGTCAGCGGGGGCGAGTTTGGCGTGGGGGACGAGGGCGGCCAAGGGGAAGGCTACATGGAAGAAGAAGGGCTCGGTAAGGAGTCTGCTAGATTGGTCCTTTTGATGGATAGAGCTTTTTTTTCTGTGATCTGGAGGATAATGGAGCATTCCGACGTTGGAAGAGTAGGTGTGTCTCATGGGCCGGTTAAAGAGGAAGCTTTTGCTGAGTAAGCAGAGGCTCTGCCCACTCGGAGACTTGGCTCTGTGCTTACTTTGACACCAGTAAGTCAGTTGACGGGAGTGTCAACGGCTTGCCGACGAGGGCCTCAGTTCATTCGCATAATCATGTCAACAGTCGGCTGTTTAGACGACCGGGTCAAACTTCAACTAATTTTCCAAGGCACAACGTGTGCCCAATCTACCGATGGCCGACAAGCGCAAAGCGCAATACGACTGCCGGCAAAAGCTCCTGTTCACTAAACCAACCACTTATTTCCCCCAGGCTTCGACGACTACCTCGCCCACGAAGCGACCCGTAAGCGCAGCGCCCTCGGCCCCTTAGGGCCCTCAAAGCGCTCGCGCCTTGCCGACCCCTTCGCTTCCGAGGTGCCCAGCGAGGGCCTCTACCAAGCGCCGTGGAGTCCCGAGGCCCTGTCCGGGAGCAGTGCGGCCCGCAAAATGGCCCGCAGCATGCCAGGGGGAGTCGGAATCAAGGCCAGGACGGCTGCGGCAAGGGCGGCAAAGGCGGCAAAGCAAGCGGCGCTGCGGGCGGCGCAGGGGAAGTTTCCCAGGTAAGACACGAGAGTGGGAGGTTATGATTCAGAAAAGATACTCTGTGAGTTTGACAATGTAATGTTGGTTAGACACAGGCGAACTTACGCTTTGTGAGATCGGGCTGGTTGGTAGCAACGTGCTGTGGAGCGCGCTGTGCCGGTGTGCTTTGGCAAGAGGCTGTGCGAACCACGATGCTTGAAGTAAGTTCGTACTGCTGAGAATCGTTCGAGTAGAGCGGTCCCATTTCGTTTCTGAACATTGTGTCAGCCTTTTGATGAAACAAGCTGCTTGCGCTCACCTCTGAAGCCGACTTGCGCTGCATGTAAGAGGGTGGAGGTTCTGCACTATCGCCCCTCGGCAGGCCCTCAGTTTCTTGCACCTGCATGAAACCTTTTCTTGTGTCTCTCTCTCTGACTGCTTCTCGTTTACGTCATCTCAGGCACTTCCCCACCGACGGGCGGCGACCCCGCAAGCGCAAGCGCATCCAAACCTACAGCCCCAAGAAAGAAACGATCGCGCAGATCGCTGCTCGTGCGGTGGCCCATGCGCGGGAGCTGCGCACGCACGCCCAGTTCATGGCGGCCGTGGCTGACGCCGCCATGATCCGCGCCGCTCACGCGCTGGCGGAGTGCCAAGAGCTGTACGAAAAGGAGCTTGCCGCTCGGGCAGCACCTACGACGGAACCGCCGCCGCCCCCGGCAGAGCCGTCCGTGGAGCAGAAAAGCCTACCTCAGGCGAAGGGGAGGGGCCGGGGGGGGTCGGCGAAGGGGGCGCGAGGCCGGCCGAAGTCGGGGCAAGCTTCGGGGGGTGCGCCGGCAGAAACGGCAGCCCTGGGGGGGCCCGTTGAGGGGGCGGAGGAGGGGGGGGGAGAGTCGGGACGCCCTAAAGGGCTTCACGTGGACGTGGGAAGCGGGGACGAGATGGAGGAGGATGAGCTGGATCGAGAACTGGTCGTTCTTACGACCCCGGCGGATATTCGGAGCGCGGAGGAGTTGGCGGGGATTCCGGAAGCGGACGGCATCCCGGATGCTCTCTTGGGGGGGGCGGAGAAGGCCGCAAACGAAGGGGCGGAAGCGCATGCGGCATACAGTCTGGAGGCCGCCGATCCGCTGCTGTCAATCGACTTGCCGGCGTTGCTGGAAAGGGAACGGCAGCTATGGAAGGAAAAGCGGGTGTGGGGTCAGGATATTGGGCAGCAGGGACTCGACATCTGGCCCATGGAAGAGCTCGAAGCGGCGAGTAGGTTAAACATGGAGGGGGGAGGAAGCCGGGATGGTGCTGGCGCGAGGGCGCGCCGGAAGGGGACTGGGGCGTGCAGTGTAAGCGCCCTGTCGTTGGATGACGACGAGGATGACGTCGACTTTGACCCGGTGCATGGGCCGTTCTTCGAGGGGTACAAAGTCTCGCGGCCGCGCCCCCGGGACCTGCGAGTCGATGTCGAGGGGCTGGATAGTTACCGGATGGGGGAGGGGCCACAGACGTTGGCGAGCGTGAGCAACATTGCCGGTAGCGGGTTGATGACGTCGCCGAAGGGGCGGCCGGGGCGGAAGAAAGGGCGGGCGACGCCGCGGCAGTAGGTGGTGCATATTCCGTGTAAATTGGAGCGGGGCCCAATTTTGTCTTTGTAATGTCTTGAGGGTGGTCGAGACTGCCGTCAAAGTACCTGCTTCCGGTTAGGTTTGGTACTTCTTTGAACTCCGAAGTTACATCCTATGCAATTGAAACGCCCGTCTATGAGTACGGTTCGCGAGTTGTTGCTGCGGATTCTTGCCTTTTGTACTAACATTGCAGTCGCTCGGTGAGGATATCTGTGTCATCTTGAAGATTTCATGTGTAGGTTCGAGCTCGAACTTGAAGAGCCGAGCAAAACTGCGGCTGGGCATGCAGTGCAATCGTGCTTGGACCCTTAAATGACCTGAGTCCTGGCATAAGCCATTCAGCTGAACTCACCAACATGAGCGGCGGCTTGAAAGTCGATTTGACATGGAAGGTTTCGCTCCTTAAATCAATGTTTGCATGTTGGTGCACGGGCAAACTATCCACTGCACTTATAGTCTGCACATACGGTTGGCATATGGTGCCGGTGACCGTCCAGTATACGATGAAGTTGCAGGCTGTAAATATGTCATGCAATCATTGCATGTGTATTAATTTGCAATACATTGGCAATTGGATGCAGCTCTCAGTAATTCATCATGGCGCACATGGCCAATTAATTACGTCGATCATCGTTGATATCATAGTATGGGTCCTTTACGTGGCAAAGCTAAGTATATACAATTCCGATCGATCGATTGAAGTAAATCATTACGCACTGCATTCGACCGTCGGTTGATTGTTGCCTTAAACGTAGGCGGCTACGGACCATGTTCAATCGGAGTGCATGACCATTTAACTTAGCGTACATTACGTATATATTTATGATCCAGTACGTCGGCCGCTTAGTACAGCTTTGGCCATCACATGCAGCTAGTCATTGCACATGAGTATACTGCATGCAGCTTCATGACGTGAATATGGTAAGAGTTTTGTTCTTCAGACGGCAGCTGCACCGTGGTGGAGGCCGTACGTCCATATAAGCCTTCAGTGAGTCGGCGCCGCCCGGAACCAAAGTTGTAAACAAAGATCAATGGCATGCATGCATTAACCGCTCCCGGGACGGTATCTATCGTGCGAGATGGTTTGTCATGGGAGAGTTCTTAGATAGACATCACTCTTAATTTTTGCACTAAAATAAGCAACTACTGCACATGTGGCGCGGCAGGCCAGATTGCGCTGCAAATTTCCTGTCTGTTGCACTTCGTCTCGAGGTTGAAGCGTTGACCACTGAGAGACCGTACTGCGGAATTTTGAAGCTGAGCAACACGGTGTGTTGTGCTGCATAACGCATGGCCGCCGCGCGGCGCGGCCGGCCGGAGCCCCTTCTGCGGGACGTACATAACCACATCCGCGATCATCATTTGATCCACCAATTAATATACAGGAGCCTGGCTAGCTTGATACTGTGCTGGCATCCGACTAGTGTCAAAGCCTTGACAATTTCGAAAGTGGTGCTAGCCCGCCAACGGCTCGAACTAATCCGGCCGCATCTACAAAATTCAGGAAACTTATTGTGATAAAGTGCAGTTGGCCTGGATGCGCTCCAGAATGATATACATTTCAATGACTGATTCTTGTACCGCTGGCGTAATATTGGTCATGCCTGTTCGATCCTAAGCAGCTGCTCTCACTTCCTTGGTGAGTATACCGTCACCGAAATTTGGCGTTTTGACTGTCGACTATGCAGATCACTATACAACCTCTACTAAGGGCCTCAGTGCCAATCTATGCTTTATATATACTTTCTATGCTTTGTATACTTGATATACTGTACAGCGTTCAGAAACATAGCAAGCTAGGTTATATTGCAAGGACCTTGCCCAGATGCTCACTCGCAACCGGGCCTTCTATGGTATCAGACACTGACTCTTGACTTCCACTCTACTGCAGCCGGCCTATCTAGCCTTAATTACAAAAACGCTATGATCGGAATGCGTCTTCCTCAAATGCAGCTTTGACTAGCGCCTATAGCTTCTGCTTGCGCAACCATCCACGACTAAAAGTTCCATGCAACCAACCTTACACGGTTCCTCTCACAACAGCAACTCCCGTCCCTCACGCCCCGGCCGCGCCGTCCGGCATGTCTTGCTGCTCCATCACGATGTTGAACGCGTAGCTGTGTGACGCCGGCTCGTCCTGCGGCTGCGGCCACTCCGCCGCAATGATGACCAGCCCTCTCTTCTCGGGGGCCAGCGCCTGCACGATCCGGTCCGTCTTCAGGAAGGGATCCCCCTCAAAGTACATTTGCGTGATCAGCGTCTTGTACCCGTCCTTGTACACCTTGAAGTGGACGTGCGCGGGACGCACCTCCGCGGGGTCCTTTGCAAGGTACCCGTACTCGCCCTCGGGGCTCGGCGCGTACGCGCTCGGCTTGACGGACTTGAACACGTACCGCCCGTGCTCGTCGCTGCTCGCACGGCCAAAGTACTTGAAATTGGGGTCCAACGGAAGCGGATTGTCGTCTCCCGGGTGATTATACTTCCCGCTCGCGCACGCTTGCCACACCTCAATCCGCGCGCCCGCGACCGGCCGCCCGGCATGGTCCGTCACCCGTCCCCGGATGTAGATCACTTGGCCGAGCGCGCGCGGGGCGCCTCTGTGCGTGATGGTGAGGTCATTGTCCACGTCTTCATGGCTCATATGGAGGGGGTAGAACGGCCCGGAGGTTTGTACTGGCGTGAAGGGAGTGTCGCGGCCCTTGCTGTCGACGCATACCGCGGGGGCGGGGTACGTTTTCTCAGAAGACACGGAATCAGGTGTGGGCGCCATAAGGACACGGTGTAGCACAACCTGCACTAGGAACTAAGATGTCACCACAATTGACCAAGACTGCAGAGGATTGCAGGAAACGAGACCTGACTTGGGACCTGTAGAGGTGATCAGGTGAGCTCTCAGAAGCCTACTGTAGGTAAGGCAGGCAAGCCAGACTACCTTCTGACAGCAGGATGGTCATTGGAATCAATAGGACGATTATGGTGGGCATGTCAGCTGCCAGGAGCTTTCTTTGAATCGAAACTCAGGACGCTTTCCAGGGGTTCAAGTTTCATTGAACAGCCAGATTGGTGGCAGTCTGTGCATGTGCAAGCTGTCTAACTTTTTGCTGGTTGCATTGTCTTCTGACTCTCATTTGTAAGGCAGCCAATCTTTTGGTGCCTGTTCAGCAATAGTTTGGTGGAGAGATTTAACATGCAGGCCTCTTAGACTGAACGGGGTACACCAGACAAGTGATATCCCGCAATTCTGGAATCTTTCAGTAAAAGGAACACAGAAAACTCACAACCAAGCAACCACCACCCAACTGTGCCAATGCCTTCAGCCAACAAATAGCCAGGCCTCGCTTTAATTAGTTGGTAAGTCGTACCACCTCTAACACCGTACCAAAGAGTTTTGATACATTCAAAGGATGTCCTGACAATTCATCAAGTCCCTCACAGGTCGCTGATACACCACCCAGTTTTGCCATCAGAGTATTTCGCTTACAAGCTGCAGCCCTAAGAATTGACAATAAGTACAGCATCAGTATAAGGCAGCTGAGCTCAATGCAACGTCTACAACTTCCCCTACAATTTTCCACTTCGGCAGTTGCTTTGCATGTTTTGCACCTACCTCTTACTCACGTCTTTTATGCCAGTGAATGTCACTGGAAAGGCAAATCTGCTCTGCAACTATTTTCCCCTGCCAGCTTGTGCTCTAGTGGGCTGTCTACGGAATGCCAGTTGGTGCAGATTGTAACAAGCACTAGAGCAGGCGTCAGCATATGGGAGGGATAGCCAATGTGACCACCATAATCACCAATCAAACCAGCGAATGCAAATGAGAAAACGAGCTTGGTTTTGAGTATCAAAGCGCCTCGTGAGACAAAGCTGGTGGAGCCTTCCGGAGGCCTCCCTCAGTTCGACTCCGAGCGTCGCTTGCGGCCATGCAATATGGAGACAAGCGCTGACACAACAGAGCTGAGCTTGATTCAAGGCTTGCATGGCGGCTCAGCGCTCGACAGACTGGAAAGAGTTCAACTGCAATGCGCCAGTGCTCGGACAGAACTGAAGCCTATAGCTAGCATGCATGATCGCCGACCGATTCCCGAGTCCCGACGCCGTTTCCGACGCATCATTCCGTACAATGGCTGCCAGCTCTGTGATCCGCGATGTGTCAGAGCCGTCCGATCGTCCATTTGGTAGACAGATGCGCAAGGCTTGGACAGTTTGACATCATCACACGCGGGGCAATGATTTGGCTGGCGCCCGGAGCTTGATCCGCTCAAGGGACGCTGCCGCGTGCCAGCCTGCCAGGTCTCGCGGGGGGCCTAAAAATCCGTTAACCGTACAAAAGTCGGTTACAGTACGGTTACGTGGGCACTGCCTGGTGCCAGCTGGCCGGCCTACCTATCTAGTAGGAGTGGGAAATTTCTCGAGTCTCGAATCTCGACTCTCGAATGAGGCGGGCGCGCGCGCAACTAAAGCGGCCGCCCCGAAGTTGGCCGCGCGCGGTACGTGCCGCGCTGCCAAGCGGCATGCGCTCTGGCAGCTAATATCAGCTAGCTAGCTAGGCTGATTTATACTTTCATGTTGCTTTTGTTGGGTTTGACGACTCCGAAGAAGGCTTGTAGCCTTGTTTGAGAAGCTACATTTCACAACTGATCTGGCCTCATCTTTGAGCGGGGACTCTGCTATCTGGCTTCATGTGATCGTTGTGTATGCGTAGTGGCAGCACCAGCAACGTTGGAAGAAGTTTTTGAACCGCGGGCTGGTTTCTACAACCGCCACAAGGTACCTACCTTTCCATAATCAACCACGTGGAATCTCATGAGACTACCAATCGCGTTTTCCAGTGTCCCTGTCGTACATCGAAGCGGTGTTCTGATTGTACCTAACAATCTCTCATATGGATTCCACCTTTTTGAGTCGAGCCACCTTTAATAAAACAGGTTTTCCAGGTGTCATCTCTGGCCCCTCGTCATCCTTGCCAGGCTTGCATTGAAAGGAGCTAACCCAACGTGGTCTCAGAAGTCTTTGTTTTGATTTTTGGAAAGGACGTGCATTTGTTTGCTTTGTGCAGAAACCCGGCTGCTCCGCTGCATAAACCCTTGAAACCACTCATCTCATACAAGTTCAATGCGTCTCTCCTAATGCACGCAACCTTCAAGGTAATCGAACTAGGATTTGTTCGTATCACAGAGTCAGCAAATTGTCTGGAGGCGAGCAGCATGACGCCGGGCGTGGCGCCAGTCCTTCTGGAGGCGCTGCAGGCGCTGTACCACCACCCGGAGCAGGCGGTCAAGGATGCCGCCAGCAGATGGCTGGAGGACTTCCAGCAGGTGCGCAAGCGCTTTGTCCTTTTGTACAATTCGCGTGTTGTATGCCAAAAGGGTTTGAGGTCGAGGATTATGGTGCAACTTCAAAGGATAGGACTGCTTGAATGGGACAGGACTGCTTGAATGGGACCCTATGATTCCCAATGCCACGGTTCGATCAACATAGTAGCATACTTTGCGGAAAAGTTTGCAATCGAAGACGATGGCAAAAATGTGGGTCGGTAGCATCAAGAGCCGATACACTTCAGTGAGTATCTTCCAATTTGGCCATGTCTTCTTAAAGTGCATCAAGCCTTGATCACAAAGCCTTACGTTTCTATTGTCTGAAGCATCGCACTTGTCTGATGCCAACTACGTAGAAGTGATTCTTTTCAAAGTACCACCACCGCAGCGCCATTCTGCTCCTGACACCGTCTCCCTGTCCCCCTGGTTCGCAGACTGTGGAGGCCTGGGCAGTGTCAGACCAGATTCTGCATGACCCGTCCAGCTCGCTGGAGGCGCAGTACTTCTGCGCACAGACCTTGCGCACCAAGATCCAGCGGGACTTCGAGGAGCTGCCCCCCGGAGCGGCAAACCAGCTGCGCAAGTCTCTGGTGCTGCTGCTCGGGCGCTACCAGGCGGGGCCGCCGGCCGTTCGCGCACAGCTAGCGCTGGCCCTGGTATGGCGTTGTCTTTAATCCTCAAAAGCTTCTTGATTGAGGTTCTCAAGCACCCAGGACAGAGGAAGCTTCTGGTTTGGGCTGGGCCTATGCACGATCAAGAAGGGCCACTCGAAAAATCGCATCATAAACTCTGCTTGTGCTTTCAAAGCTGGCCCGAGTAACATGTTGAATTGAGGACCAGTTGAACATTTCTACCTGAGCTGCGGTCAAACTGCGAAGCGAGGAGCAAAAGTTTTGAGTTGCCCTCTTTTTGCTTGTAAGGCACTAGTTGGTTGTTGGCTTTTGAGGGTGCTCCACTGATTGGAACACCTGACCTCAATCCCTGCATCGACAGGCAGTGAGTCCAGCATCGCTCTGTGTGTACAGACCGCACTCGCGGGCCACCTCCCTGCCAACGAATGGTCTGCCGAAGATGGCTCTGGGGGGCCTTCCGTGGTCCAATGGATCGCCCGGCAACTCAACGAGCAGCCAAGCGCAGTGCCTGGCCTCCTGGAGATGCTAGCAGAGCTGCCGCGGGAGTCAGCCAGCTACAAGATTGCGATTCGGCCAGCTAGGAGGCGCCAGTTCTCCGAGGAGCTTGTGGCGTCGGTGCCGGACGCTTTGGGCCTGCTGGGAGCGTTCTTGTCGGCGCAGGGGGGGGACCAGGCAGTGGTGAATAAGCTGCTCTCGGTGAGGGGGTTCCTGTAGCGTTTCTTGGTTGTCTCGAAAACCCGTGCATCTTGAGGGGTTTCCTGTAGCGTTCCTTGGATGTTTTGGAAACTCTTGGAAGAGGAAAGCAGAGGGAGTGGAAAGCCTACTCCTATATTATGGAAATGCCGTGACGCTTTGGAAATCTAGTTTGCATAGGAGGGGCTGTCTGTCCTCCACTCTTCACGCTTCTTCCCCACTTAATGGATACATAATTGGCACAACGAGGTAAAACGCTGCGCTGCTGATTTCGTCTTGGTCGTCGGTACGTCTTACTTCGTCCACACTTGTCGACGACGGCTTTCTGTCTCTCTGTACTTCGCAGGCGTTTGCTGCTTGGTTGCGGCTGGCCAACGGCATGCCCGCACAGGACCTGGTTAACCAGCCGCTGACGAAAGCGGCACTTGATGGGCTGAACGAGCAGGCGACGTTTGACACGGCGGTGGATGCAGTGTGCGAGCTGATCCGGTACACAGTCAGCGGGCAGGGCCTTGGGGACCTTCTAGCGCACATGCCGCTCGTCCAGGTGAGGGGGCGAATATACCTACACAGCGATTCAATGCATTATGGCTGCCGTGTTGTGTTGCAGCCTCGGCAGGGCGGTTGTTTGCACTATATCGGAGCCCAAAGGTTCTCATGATTACCTTGTGATTTACAACGCTCGTTTCCTTTGGGACCTGTCTGTACTCTGGTCTAAGCTGGCTGGTCGCTGCCAGCGACGATCTGCCCAAACCCTGTACAATTCAATTTCGAGCTACTTCTGAGCTCTGACTCTCCTGCGGCGCTATTGATCAAACAACTCACAATCAAACGTCCCCAGCAAGCACGTCACTCTTTCTGGTTCCAGGTCTTGGTGCCCCGCGTCATGGCGCTGCGCCCCCGCTTCGACGCCGCCCTCCGACAAGCGCTCGCGGAGAAGGCCGAGAACGAGGGCAGCGAGGCGGTGCCGGTCGACTCGGAGAATCAGGTTGAGGAGGACGAGGATACGACCAAGGCAATGGCGCGCCTCTTTGCGGAGCTGGCGGAGGCGTACTCGGAGCTTGTCGCGAGCGGCAGTCCGGATGCGGTGATCATGGCGCAGGCGATGCTGGAGGTGCGTCTCTCTAGCATTTCATAGAGAGGGACTTTTGCTGGTCAGAACGAGTCATTTTGTGGGGGTGATGTTTGTCTTGCTTTATGAATGTTGTGCTGTGGGCTTGAAAGTTGATAAAAGCGTTCTTCAAGTGGGCGTCTGCACCTGTGAGTGTACCTCAGTTCGGACGGCTGGCAACCACGAGTCAAGTCTAATAAAGGATGATCACCTCGCGTGTCGTGCCGTCATTACGCGTTGGCCACGCGCGTATATCCACTGTGACGGCCCTCTTGAGTGATTCTGGACGAGGACGCATACCTTTCTCCGTGGACAGTGGATGTCAGTTATCAGGGGAAGGGTTGTGCGGTTTGGCAGGAAACAGATAAAGACTCTAAAATGTCCTTGTGACTGTACAATTGGACGGGTATCTTGTTGCTTCTGAACTCGTCGCCCTCGCATCGGGTTGTGCGGCAACGCCCCTCTCCTCCGTTTCAGGTGGCGGCTCATCCGGACGACACCATCGCCAGCACGACGTTCAACTTTTGGCACAAGCTGAGCCGCGCGCTCACCAGCAAGCCGCAGGGGGGGAACTCCCCGAGCGGGTCCGCCGGGAGCGCCGCCGTCATCAACGAAAAGGAGCGCCGGCTGGCGCTGTTCCGACCCCTCTTCCAGATGCTGGTGTCCCTTGTCACTGGTCGCGTCAGGTGAGGGTATTGTAAACCGATGGATATATAGGGTTCTGTAGTGCTATTTGCCAAACTCGTGCGTTCCTCTTTGTTCTTCTGAGGCGCATGATAATGAGCAGAAAGCGACGTGTCCAGTTGCCGTCCGGAAAAGGCGCAGTAACGGAAGTTTGCCTGAGTAGCAACGGGCTAGTCTGTTCCTAACATCTGGGTTCAGCTTATCGCCTCTTCGGTCACCCTCGATAAGCGCGCGTTCACTGCTCCTAAACGCGAGTAGCCAACGCAAGGAGGAAGTAGGGATTGCAGCCTCAAGCAAGGGTTTCCGAATGCTCCGTTTGTACCATCAACCCTGACATTATCCCCTCTCCGCCAATTCATTGCTGCTCTGCGGCGTTCAATTGATTCCAACATTGTTGCAGGTACCCTCCCGGCTTCGACACGTGGCGCAAGGACCAGAAGGCCGACTTCAAGCACACACGCTATTCCGTCGCTGACGTCCTCCTTGACGTGGGCGAGGTCCTCGGCGGCGAGTCCCTCCTCGCACTCCTCGGGCAGCCCCTCTTCCAGGCCGCCCAAAACCTCTCCGCTTCCAACGACTGGCAGACCTTTGAGGCGTCCCTCTACTGCATACGTGGCATCTCGCGATTGGTCCCCTCCACCGAGGCGTCAGTCCTTCCAGAGATTATGGCGCTGCTGCCGTCCGTGCCGCCACACCACCCGCAGTTACTGTACACGTCAGCGCTGACGATCGCCGCTTATTCCGAGTGGCTCGCTTCCGCCCGCAACGTTTCCGCGCTCCTCCCCCCCGTGCTCACGCTTCTGGCGACCGCGCTCAGCGCGCAAGAAGAGGCCCCCTCGGCCGCGGCCGTCGCCCTCCAACACGTGTGTGACACGTGTTCCGTGCATATCGCTTCTACGAGCGGCCACATGGACGCCCTCCTGGGCCTCTACGAGCGGACCCTCAACCCCGAGACGCGCCCGGGGGATCCCCCGATCCGGCTCGAGAACGAGCACGTGATGCACGTGATCGAGGGCGTATGCAAAGTTGTCAACAAGCTCCCCACGGAACGCGGGGAGCAACTGTTACAGTCTCTCTGCGTTCCGATTCTCACCCCCCTGCAGCAACTAGCAGTGGCGACGCAGCAGGGGAGCACGCCGAGCGCCGGACTCTTCGTACAGCACTTGGACCGTCTGTCCGAAGTGTTTCGGTGCTACCGGTCGCCGCGGCCGCTCGCCGATGCGTTTGGGCGAATGTGGCCGCTGGTGCAGACGCTGTTTGCGCTCAAGGGCGGGGACACACGCATTATGGAGCGGCTCTGCCGGGCGTGCAAGCTGGCAGTGAGTGCGATTCTAAATTGTCATATGCCATGTTCTGTACCGCGGGCCTAGGAAAAACTGAAAAGAAAGAAGACAGAACACACAATAGGATTCATCCGGGTCACTGCTAACTCTGCTGGCACTGTTCTAGGATTGTCGCTCCTCTTGCCATCTCATCAAGGCAGGACGTAGAACATAGTCGTGTCGCCAACGGAGCTCAACGGTCTTCTTCAAGAGTATTCCCAGAGCAGGGATGTTTTACCTGCCGAGCGTGCTTGCGTGCATCTCTCTAGGCGCTTATCGACCCTCTTCCCTTGCCGTCCCTTGCCGTCCCTTGCCCATCTTGTACAAGCTCCCCGCGCAGAAAGCGGGCGCTCCAAACTGCGTGCAGAGCCTCAAGAAGAGAGTTCTTTTGTTTGAGGTGTGGGTCGATAAGGTGTACAATAACAGTCGAAACTAGTGGACGCCACCTCATTGGTCCACTCCTGCTTCTGACGTTATCTTTTGGACACCTAAAAATAATCTAAGGCTCACGTCTTTTTTGGACACACTGTGCAGCTTCGCACGTGCGGTACGGACCTGGCGCCCATGTTGCCCGCCATTGCCAACGAGGTGCAGCTGCGCTACCAGGGGACGCACCAGTCGTGCCTGCTCTACGTCGCCAGCGAGGTCGTCAAGGTGAGGACACGTGGCAGCGGGAGAGTGGCTGAAAGCTTTGGCCAAATCTGCGTGCACAGCTCCTTACAGCCTTCATTTCCTTATTTTTACTGGAAAGGAGAGCGGATAGACCGACATTTCAGTGCATGTCGACGATCAGAACTTCCCAGACATCTGTCTCCGTTCGACGCCCGTCGAGGTTTACTCCCGTCAGCCGCAACCTGAGTCTTGTTGTGCCTTGACACGGCACTCTTAGTGTTCCTTGACTGCGTGCGGTCAACGTCCTGTCAATCACGCTGACGTTCTCCGGTCTGGATCAGGTCTTTGGGATGCACACTTCCCAAAAGGACACCGTCGGCTTCCTCCTCAACAGCCTCTTCCCCGAAACGCTCTCCTCTCTCAAGACCATCTCGGTGAGCCTTGGGCCGCTAAAGAAACAGCCACCAGCTTCTAAAAACCATCGCGCTTTTATCTTGAGAGCAAACAACCTCTCTGCGTGCACTTCTTTTGTAGTCCGCTCTCGACGCCGAGTGAGAGGGGCCGGTAAAGACCTCTGTTGTCACTGCTCTTTGTGTTGGATTGACTGCAACAGCTTGGCAAGAGGCCATCAGTGGACCAGTCAGTCCTCCCTCATCACAACGCCACCGAAGCGCCCCTTTGCGGAATTCTGTGCGCTATTCTCCACACCCGCCCTCCCTGGAGGCAAGCAACGTCGTTCTCTTCTAAACCAGTCCTCTCCTGCTGCGCAGGACTTCACTGCGCACCCCGACCTCGCGGACGACTGCTTCCTGTTAGCGGGGCGGTGCCTGCGCTACTGCCCGCAGCTCATCGGGGCCTCCCCGCTCCTGCCGCAGCTGCTGGACTGCGCCCTCACGGGGATCACGGTGCAGCACAGGTGCGCCCTGTTTCCGGCCCAGTTCTGTCCTGAGTCACATGGAGACGCAACTCAAGCGGACCCATTTTCGAGTTTGTGTTTTGTCTGGCAGGTTTTAGCCCAGGTTCTGCTTGCGAGCAATTGGAGCTCGGAGCTTCTGCTTGCTGTCACTGTCTCTCCAGAATTTTCCGCGCTTCGGGGCTTGGGCGACAACTGCAGGAGATTCAACGCCCTGAAGACTGTTCTTCCGCTCTCACGCTTCTGTTGAAAGAGAGGCGTCGAATAGTAGCAGAACCTCAGAGCTCGTGCCAGAATCCTCGTATCCCTGTTCTGAAGCCGTTCATTTCTGTTTACGTGCGACAGGGAGGCCTGCCGGTCCATCCTCTCGTTCCTGCAACAAGTCCTGGAGCTGGTCAAGTCCCGGGAGGGCGCTGACGTCAGGAGCAGCGTCGAGGCAGCGATCCAGCCTCGGGGGCCGACGTTGCTGCGCATTCTCATCGCCGGGATCACGGGAGCTTTGCCAGAGGCCCGGCTAGACGAAGTGAGGCTCTTCTGCATGTTTCGATTGGAGGGCAGGCCCAGCTTGCGTCCACTCTCGGGAGCAAGAAAGGTCTTTATGGAAAGCGATAGAAACTGAGTTTCTTTGCTACTCTGCAGCGTCGTCAGAGTGGTTGGATCTGCATATCAAGCGAGCCGGTCAGATGAAACCCGCCGATTGTTTGAATTTCGCATCGCAACATTTCGTCGCCTGGTGAAAAAGGAGAGCGGACAAACGGGCCGTAACAAATTCGCTCCTCTGTGATACAGTTGATCGACACGCTGTCCTACTTCGCGCCCCTAGTTGGGCAGTCCATTGTACAATGGACGCAGCAGACGCTGGGGCTGATTCCAGATTCGGCCCTATCCAACGGTGAGAAGGATGCTTTCATCCAGGCGGTGGCTCAAGTCGCGTCTAGCAATAGCGACCACCGAGAACAGCTTACGACAGCCGTCGATGAGCTTTCCGACGTGTGCCGTCGAAACAAGAAAGTGCTGAGTGCAGTACAAGACGCTTTGCAACCTTTGCAGCTGAAGTACCCGTCTGGATAACAGCAAGCGTTTCAGAAGAGGCAGACGCTTGCGAAGTCTTGTTCATTGAGTTCACCGTAAGACCCCTTTTTGACACAGCTTTTGTGACCATTGTCCAAAGACAACGTCGTCACAGGATTCAGGATGTGATTCACATCTTTCAGTATGGCTCCGTGTTTTCTGGTCAACCTCACTCAATCGCTGGTCGACACCTGTTTGTTCCTCCTAAGTATGTGACCATCCTACTATCTAGGATGGAGTGGGAAACTGGATATAAAGATCGGGCCACACATGCACAGCAAGATCGGTTCGAGATCGAACATTAGGCAATTCTGCACGTCTGAAGAGACAACCTTGCATCTAAAGAAACATACGGCCGCCTTAGGCCGAAGCTACCGGCTGTGATGATCAATAATCCATGAACAAGCCATCGTGCCGGGCATCACATGGATCTACCGAGGATGCAAACTGGCACATGCATACTTCATTTGTGGCATGCTGATCATGTCAAGCTAAATTGAGAAGCAAAATACGCGCAGTGAGCCCGCTCGCCGGCATTGCTCGACGCGGTCTCGTACTCGTGGCATGCATGTGCGACGATCGGATGGCGAGCGGAGCTACCGTGACTAGTACCGTAGTTAGCGCCGCGGGCCTCAGTCGCACTTAGTGAAGCCATGCCAGCCATGATGCACTCTGAGCAGTGATATTGGGCGCCGCCTGAGGTTGCAAGCTACGCGCGCGCGCTCGCAGCATGATTACCTAGCTCATGATGGGACGGCCAGCTTCGACTCGGTGGAATGGTACGGGCATCACGTGTAGCACATGGTAGTACTTGTTTGTTGGGCTAAATTGTTGCAGAGTCTGGGAGTGCGTTCAAGAACTCGCTCTCATTTCACCAGTCAGCCAGGGCCTGTCGGCCCTGTCCGGCGACCTGGTTCTACCAATTACGAGGAGACGGGACCACTGTAACGCAGAGGGGATGGGAGCTCACGTCCGCTTGCTGTAGCCGTCGATCTGATAGAGTGAGTGCTGCGACCTTGTTGATACGTTTTGTGTCATTGGAGATTCGGCGACGGCAACCCGACTCTCGGGCCCCGGTTGGGATTTGTAAGCCTTCTCTCTGACTGATATCCAGACTTTCGCAGACCTCAACTTGGAAAGTTCAGTAGCCAGTCAGACGCTTCACCTGCTTGAGGCGCATGCTTTTGTCAATGTTGAGCTGCAGGTCCCTTTCCTGTGTGATGAGGCCTTGTACCCGGCACCTGCCGTAGCTGGCACTGGCTGTGCTGTGCAAGCAGAATCAGGATGTTTGCTTCGGCCACTTGCGCGGTCACAATTCCCAAGCGGAAGCGCAGTAGCAGCTGCGCCAGAAATCAATTAGCGCCTGCTCTCAAATTACAGAAGGACTCTGTCAAAAGACAGAGAATCTATCAGAAAGGTTGCGCGGGAGCAGTCAGCAGGATTGCAAGCAGGTTTGACTTTTTGCCCGCCCAACCCTACGGGCTGGCTGCCGACGATGCGGCCACAGGTATGGACTCACAGCTCATGTTGACATCACAGTACATGCAATGATATTGACAATGCAGATGAATGCAATACTGAAAAGCAATGTGCAGTCACTCTAATGTGGACTGCAGCAAGCATGCCCCAGGCCTGTAGGCACGATTACTTGCTCTGCCACCTGCAGAACCACTGTCCTTGGTACTCACCGCTCGTCAAGGGAAGCAGGCCAGGCGCGACGCCAGGTGCTCAGAAACTACTGACCCCACACTGGTTGTAAAAGATATGTGACATCTCCGCCGTCTATTGTTTTGCAGACGTGGCGAAGTCTATGCACTGCCTGGAACCTGACCCCACAAAACCTGGGGGGGTAAGTCTTTCGCGCACTTTGATGCCAGTGCTTTTACTGTCTTCTCGACACTTCAAGCATATGCATGTGAAAGGGTACTGTTAAGTCAATCCGTCGGTTTTGGATTTCTGACACCTATCAGAGGCCCCATCTCTCCATTCTTCCATGTGTGCATTACAGCAGTATTGCTGTACTCATCCATCAGTCTCAGTCCCTGCAGTGTCGTTCTTGGTTGTGCTTTGCAACCTGGGATTCAGGGCCACTTGCTGAATCATTCTTCTTGTTTCCTCATGCAGCTGACACCAGAAGAAGAGTTCTTCAAGGAGGTCAACACTGACCTTCCTGAGCTCTCTGAAGATTGTGGTTCCGACGGGCCTGACTCCGACAACCTCCCCACTGGCGATGATGCCTGCCCTGACTCTGAGGCGGTAAGCTTCAATTCAGAGCTTTCCCTCGTGTTCAGGTTTTCTGCGACTACGTCAACACATGTCTCAGCACGGGGGATGAAGCTGAACGACTTACTTTTGCATCAGATTGGTCAAGTTGTGTTTCACTGTGTTTGGCTTTGGGTTTTGGCAGGAGTATAATCTGACAATCTATCTGGATGCGTGTCATCCGTATTTAAAATTGCATTCATGTATTGCTGAAATGCTGCCGTTCCCTGGTAGTCGAGCCATCGATTACAATTCCTTCTATGAGTAGGGAGGTTTTGATGGAATCTATGGATACGTTGTGGCTTCGCTCCTGGACTGATTGAACGAGGCGCTTCTGGCTGCCCTTGCCTGAGATGCTCATGAAACGTTGTGGCTGCAGTTCTGGAATATGCCCTAATACCACACGCTCTTTGCCTTAGTACTAGTATGTTGTGTCAGTACCGACAGTTCCCTGTGATTCCAAACCATCAAGTTGGGAAGTGACCAGGATTGTTATGAGGTTCAGACAAAATCAAGTCCATATGTACGAACTTCGTCAGACCCCGAGTCTAGGGACTGTTTTTTGGCTTGAAACACGAGACTCATCGGTCTGTAACCAAGAAGTGCTCTAAGTGCTGGGCTCTGGGCTCTTGGAGAATATGCAAGCATATTGATGAAGGAAGTTGAAAGCCGTTGAATATTGTGTCTGCTTGTGAGCACCGCTAATGCCTTTCACGTCCTGGTACCTACGCAGGATTCGGGGTCTCCTCAAGCACCATTGCCGCACTCGTGGGAGTTTGAACTGACGGAGCAAGAATTTTGGGAGGGGCCGTCGTACATGGATGTGGAGTCCATCACCCAGGAGATGCAGACTGCTCTGGTAAAATGTCGACCGTCTGCGCAAATGGCTATATACTTTGGCGAGCTGTGTGCACAATGCTTCGTCCCCGCTTCGTCCCTTCATGTTCTTTTTCGTCTCTCTTTGTACAATCAAAGCATGCTTGGTCTGTGTCGGCCATGCTCTTTTCACATTTATGCTTGAAGTTCGCCGCAAGTCTGGACATGATTCCCCGAGGACTATCTTGAGCAACAAGCATGCTCCGAAGTCGACTTTTATGTAGGACTTTGAAACCTCACTCTCAACAAACCGACCTGCACTTCGCAACCTTTGTCCACGCATCGTTTTGCAGGTCGTTTCAGTTCCCATGGTGCTAAGCACTAAACTGGACAATGTAGCAGCACTAGATTGCTCAAAACTGGAGCTTGACTACAACATCCCCTTCGAGCTTGCGGCCCCTACGGATGGTCACAACAGCGAAGACCACCCCACCGACGACGACTTCATCGCTCAGGTTCTCTTTGCACCCAAGACTGCCAACGATGAGGTAGGTTATGCTTCATGCACTTATCTTAGACGAGATATATTGACTTGTAATTAATAGCAAACGTCTAGCTATCTTGGGTGGCCCCATCAATTTGCAACCTTTCTGGGCACCCAGGCTTGAGCTGACTTCTCATGCTCCGTACCCTTTGGACAAGCATGCACGTTTGGTGTGCTTTTGGCCTCTGGTAAGGCATGGAAGCAAAGACACAAGGTCCACTACCTTAATGTGGGTTGCTTGCAGATTTGTTTTGAAAAGAGTGCGGTCTGTTCGGGTTGATTCCAGCATGGAGTTTTGTTGTCCTTTTTTCACCTATTCCAGGATTGATCTCTACTGTCTTGTTTGCAGGTCTTGTTGAGGGAAATTCTCGCCATCTGCGACCAAGCGGACAACCTTACATCAGACGGCACGCATATGATCGGTTGCCGGCCTACGACCAGGATGTCTTCATGCGATTTTGCAAGGGCAAGGCCTTGGGACATACAAGGTAATGTGGTGCGCTTTGACCTTAAAGTCCTCCTGGTCCTTGAGTCACTATCAAGCAAGATAAAGGGTATGCAGAGCCCACACGCCCATAGTCACGATGAACCATTGAACGTGACAGCCCCTCAACACATTGGGAACAAATGGGACGTTTCAAGCAGGATCGTGTTCCGAAATGGCCCCGCATGCGCCAAGGGCCCCCGTCTCCGATCAAGTCCAGCTTCCAAAGAAGGTCAAGATTCTTGGAGAGGAGACTTCAATTCTCATGCTTTGGGCAGCAGAACGAAGGAATCACAACGCCCACAAACATGCAACACCACACGAAAGTACAAACGGGCAACTGTCGAAAAGAGTCGAAGGTTCACGGAGAAACGCGATTAGCCTTCATCAAGTTGTCGGGCTTTCTACCCCCCAACCGACTACAAGGTGGCGAAGTCATGATTCAAGGAATGTTGCTGCCTACTAGGCTAGCTACAACCTCTTTGCTGACGAACCACATCTTCTTTTTGTGGTCAACAATTGGTTTCATACTAGTTAGAGCTCTCCAGAGTTGAATTGGTTCAATCGAGTCACGAGTCACGACCACAAAAGCTTTTATCGAAGGTAATTCTGCCACCGGTGTGGGTTGGCCATACAACCATGTGCAGCTAGATGCGGGAAGTGACGTGTGCATTTCAAAGTGACTTCGAAACGAAGAGGTAAGAGGTTCGGATCAAGAAGGAAGCTTCAACACAGGTGTGCTCTTGCAGTCGTTGCTGAGGAGTTGGCAAAAGGAATCCCCAACGCCGACACCAAGAAGAGCTGGTGCTTTGCCATTCATGGGTGGAACCGAAACGACTTGAACAGGGACTTCCTGAAGAGACTCCAGAAGAAGATATGGGTAAACACGTCGAAGAACAAGGAGGACCGAGAGCCCAGTCCTCTAAATGATTGCATGGACGTGCAAAATCAAGGGTTCCGAGCACACCTGTTGCCAAACGAGGAGGTCCCAGTTTACCTTCAGTCGCAAGGGAATTTCAAGCCCATGCTTCGATTCTCAATGAGGGTATACACAAGGAAGGAAACAAGCGCCAATGGGCGTTCGCAGGATCAGGTAGGGCCAATTCCGGCACTCATAATCCTAGCTCCCTAGCGGCATGGTAGAAAGAAAAGTTTTTGGCGATCTTGGTTGGGGTCGAACCCAAGACCTTCCCGTAGGTCCGTGGACCCGGAGATTTTGAAAATGTACACCCGTACGGTCGAAAAGTACACATGTACAGGTCAAGTACAGCCCACAGTATGTCAGCAC